GGGACCATATAGAACAAAAGGGAACTAAATGGGGTGCTGCCATCCAGAAGTGATAGTTCTTATCTACAAGATAAATACCTAGCCTTACTAACTAAGCCAAAACATTTTCTAAATATTTGAACAGTAATGAAACCGTGAGCTGCAATCAGTTCTAGGTTTATAACCAGTCAATATACCAGACAATTTTGATTATGATTTTTATAGAATTTTAAAATGGTTCCTTGACTTTGCTGTGCATCCTCATTTGTGTAAGCGAGCCACCGTAAGGTTGTTGAGCTTACTCGTGATCCACGACTGCTCTGTAGTCAAGTTTTGTGGGAGGCCTTTTTGAAAGGGGAGAGGAAGTCATGTATGGATTTTAGTGAGGGCAAAAGACCATGCAACTGACAGTACTAAACAATTGTTTGTTTGAGTCGGGTTTTTATTGAGGTACCAGCGGGTCTGGTGGTAGGTCCTGTTGTATGTTATGTATCATGTCCTCTAAAAGGCATCTGACAGTCATCTTTGCTACATTTGCAGATACTGTACTGTATCAGACTATGCAGAAGTTATATCAGAGTAAATAACACAAGTGGACTACAGAAAAGTAGAAATGTAGGAAGGATAAAGTGGTATTAGGTATTTTTGACAACAAAAGTTTTTGCTTGGGAGGAATAATCTGAAACTTAGGTACCCATTGGAAAGAATAAGCCTGTGAAGCAGCAGTGTCTGAAGGACAAGGACCTTACAGGATGTGAATTGTTGGCAACTTAATCTTAAATTTGCAATGTAAATGACAAGAACGGAGAGGTAGTAACATGCTGGGCTGTGTAAACAAAATTGGCCCTTGTATAATTGCCACAGGAACCTTCTAGCAGAATTCCTTAGGAAACTGTCAGAAAAATACCAAGTAATAGGATTCTAATAGCTAGCCAAAGCTAAATTCTGACAGGGAGTTGAGATGTAGGACAGGAGAGGATTTAGATCTGTACAGCTTGTGCAAGAAAAGGGAGATATTGCTGATATTTACCAACAACAGAGAAGTCAAACATCAAAGAATGCTAAGAATTGTCTGGGATGATGAAAATATTAGCTATTTCTGACTGCTTCCTTTAGAAATTACCACAGTCCAGTACCACGTTTGGCACGCTGTTAGTTCTAATAACAGCATGACCTTACTGTCACATAGTTCCTACTCTTCTTGTTCCTTGTTTCACTCATGGGGAGTGCATTGAAATAATGGAAAATGAGGCTGGAAGGGATACTGAGGATTATATATTCCATTTCCCTTTCCAGTGCTAACAAAGATATTTTCACCAGTGTTGTCTATTTTTTCTTAAACACTGCCCGTGAAAGAGATGATAAATGTGAACATTGGGAGTTTTGGCTTTTCTGTACCCTCTTCAGTGCCTGGAACAATGTGACCCCAAATCTCTTCAGGTCCCCAAACACTATCATAACAATGAAAAGTAGAAGACAGAACAGGAAATACTGCATGAAATTAAGAAAAGGTGTATACTAGAAGAAAGCCTGTGACAGGAAGGCCTTATTATAGGCAATGGGGCACTGCTCTGGAGAGGCAGAGGGCATGCATATGGGAAGCTTAGAACCACTGTAGATAAAGCGTGAGTACATGCCTTCAGCCATGGATCTTGGTCTGACTGTTGATTGTCTTCATTTTGGATTTTGAACCTTTTGTATTAACACGTAGCATGATGTTGTTTTATAATTAAATGTTGATGTGTTTTAGATAGAGCTATTGGAATCAGATTTTCTGTTCTTGGAAGACTGTGTTGGATGAGTTGTGCCTTTCTGTTTCAATATTACTACTGCAGACCTTCTTCCTCTCCAAGACCATAGATGTTGTCTCCAGAAAGGTGGAGACATTTGGTGACATACATCTCTTACCATTTACCCAGAACACGAAAAATACCAATGCTTTTACTTAATTTATAGGAGGTTGGTAGCTCTGTTTAGATGGAAAAGTTAATGTTTCTGCTTAGTCCAATTTATGCTTTTGATTCTCTTGCTTCTCATCATGTGCTGCTTCTCCCTAGTTATGGCTGCAGGACATGTACAGGAATTTGCGTGCTTCACTGACTATGACAAAGAGCTGGTTTGTCACTGGAAGGTGCCTGGACAAACTAACTGCTCCAAAGAATTCCTGCTCTTCTACAGGAAGGAATTTGGTTTTTCGCTGTAAGTGTTTAATAAGGTGTTACATTATCATTGTTGGAACTTCATATATCCTATAGCCATTATCAGCTTTGATTCCCTCCCTCTACCATTGGTGTCTGGGACAAAATGTAATCCAGATTATTCATCTTGCCAGGAGGAAAATAGGTTGCTGCAATTAACAGCATGCTCTGTTCAGTGATCTAGTCTTCTGCAGACCTCTCTTAGTACAGAGGAGTGATCAAGTCCTGCTTGTAGGAGTGGTAGGGCTCCTGCAAGTTTTCCTAGCCTTCATTTCATGCATAATTTTGCCTCCTTCAGGAGAAATCTTACCTGATTTACCAGTCTGTAGCCTGTGTGAAAGGTACTCTCCCCTGGAACCCAGGTGATTATGTCTGCATACAGTCTAACTCCGTGTTCAAACACAGACTGTTGCTCCTGTTCTGCAGCAAGGCCAGTCATCTCCTACAAAGGCAGATGAATCTGGGCTTTCCAGTTCCTCGTCATATGATTTCTCCACACAGACATCCAAATAACCTCACTTTGTACACTGTAGTAAACCTGCTTCTATACTAGCAAGCTGCAAGTCCACTCCTTCAGAGGTTGAAGAGGAACGGTGTTAATTGTTCCTCTTGGGATTAATCCTTAGCCTTTCTGTCAAGTTTTTAATTTGTGTGATACAGATATCGAAGGGGTGTTTGGGGAGGTGGGTTGTTCGCGAGTTTGGGGGAGCTCAGTTTTGGTTTGTATTTGTTTGTGCTAAATGTTTCTAGGAGCTGAGCTTGTTTGTCTCAGATTTGATTAGCTCTACACATTGGGAAGCTTGATTTCACTTTTTCAAGAAATAGTGTGCCACACTTTCTAAACATCATATAATTTTTCTGCCTGTTTTTCAGAAACCATGTGTGTGTCCCTGAGAATGGAGAAGACAGTTTAAGGTGCACTTGCACAATACGTCAGGAGTATTTTGTATCAGGCCTCACGTATATTCTAGCTCTACAGTTCAATGGGACTGAGACGTGGAATTACAGTGTTACACCAGCCCTGGTTGGTAAGAAACTGTTCACTTTGTCACCAGGACACCTGGTTCCATGCTGGCCATGCTAGCTAACTCCTCATTCATGTCACTGGAACAGTTTCTCCTTATCAGAGGTGAAGAGTGCCATGCGGGCCTAAATGCACACTCTGTTTGGCTTAGAAACCTGATTCTGGAGTAGATTCTTAAGGAAATAAGTAACGGGGCAAGCACAGATTGATTCTTCCTCTAGCTGTACCTTCTCAGCTGCCAGCCAGCGGTAGTTTGGGGGCTTAGACATATCTTTAGTGCATTTTACTTGTGGCTATGGAATTCAGGGATGAAGAGGAATGTGCTACTTCCAGTTTCTAGAAAGACACTAGGCGATCCCTACTGAAATTTCTTCTATTCTTGTCTCTGTCATGCTCTGATTTTTCATGCTAGTTGAATCATCACCCTGAACAGAGATTTTTACAATAATTGCTGTTGGATTATAACAACCAGTGATAAAAACTTAACTCTGCTCTTTCACAGGACAGAGCAGAGATACATGGGTTGATGTCTCTTGTAGGCATCTAGTTTGTTTAAAACAGTGTGCTTGTTTGTAACGTTTGTCACCTCAAACACTCAGAGAAATCATTCACATACCTTAGGCAGGCATTCATCTGCATCGATGAGCTGGTTCTTTTCAGAACACTCTGTTGTTGCTGCTGCTTATCAGCAGAGTAAGCAGGAGCCTGCATCAGTTTCTGAGACAGGTAGCCAGGACAGCCTGGCTGCAAAGTTGTCAGAAGCTCTGTGCCTATCCCATGGCACAGCATGCTATTGTGAGGGTGCAGGCTATTCCCATTTTTCCAGGCTGAAAGCTGCATCCAGTGCACCGAAAGGCTGAGCTCGCGGTTTGTTCAGCCAGCTTGAAGATTGAGTGCTTGTTAATGAATACCTTGCCATTGCTCTGTTTCGGCCTCTGTATCCTTGTGCTACAGCGTAGTGAAAAGGGCTAAATGCATTGACTGAGATGAGATTCTGGCCTCTGGTGAATGTTTATCTCTGCTTCTGTCCCTCAGTGCTTTCCCATTGCCATGTTCTCCTGAATTGTATTTTTTAACACACAGTTAAGCCAAGGCCCCCCCAAAATCTTGCCATTGAGAAAGCTGAAAATGGTAATTTCAATCTGAGCTGGGAGGAGAGCTACTCTCCTCCATCCATGCTCTCTGGACAGCCGGTCATCTATGAAGTGAAATACTGGAGGAAGCAGCACCCGACAGAGGTAAGAGACAGCCAGTCTCTTCATTTTCTGTCTCTCCGGAGCTTTCAGGTTTAAAAAGTCCTCTGAAAAGTCCTGAAACAATTTAATGAATAGTGGTGCAAGGGCAAGTCCCACAATGCTCCTGATCACACACTTGCCACAGGACGTGTTGCCCCAAGGTGTTCAGCTTGGCTTTAAAAGATTGAAACTCTTCTGCCACCCCAAAATGGTCTTCTGCTCACAGTAGACAGGGCAGAGATTGAAAATACTATGCTTCAGTTCCATGAACTTCGTTTGCTCCTTAGACATCAGGAAGCTAGAGGCTGTTCATGGCTCCGTGGCATACTTGAGGCATTTCAGACACCCTCCTGAACAATCCAGCACTTTAGGGCTGGGCTGCTTTCGGGAGGTGAAGAAAATGCATGGTGGCATGTCACAAATACCACCCGCTCATGACAACAAAATGCAGTATCATGCACAGCAGATTAGGAATACAGTCATTCGTTTGTTTATTTGTGAAAGGTCACTGAAACACATAACACTATTGTTAGTTAATTGCTGTCACTAACCCTTCACCTCATAAAGAAATCAAAGTGAACTTTCTCACTTTCTTTTTAGGTTTCTGTAAAAGCAATTAACTACCAGGCAAAAAGCTTTGAAATTACTGCAAGCTCCTTGAGGAGAGGCTATGATTACGTTGCAAGCCTAAGGTGTTACTACACAGACTACCCAGCCTACTGGAGTGAATGGAGTGAAGAAGTTGAATTTCACTACGGTTAAGTATTGTAACAAGTAGCATCTTGCTTGATTAAAAGGATGGTATAGTCTTATAAACCATATCATATATGCCACGCTGCTCGCATCTCAGAGGAGAGTTATGGAATCATCATCTTCATCCTTTTGAGTGTATTGTGGATATGTCTGTAAAGGTTTCCAAAGAGACTAAACATAAAAAGGGACTCCTGGGGAAACTAAGGAAGAGAAGATCAAGGGAAGTTGGACTGTTTAGCCTTGTGAAAAAAAGGCTAAAAGGGGATGTGTTTATTCTCTATAAATATTTCATGAAGTAGACACCAGGGAAGGAGAAGAGATATTTAAACTAAAGAACAACATTGACATGAGAGCAAGTGGGTATAAATGAACAAGAGATATTTAGACTGCAAATTAAGCAATACTTTAACCGTCAGAGGGCTGAGGGTGTATAAAAATCTCTGAAGAGCAACAGAGAGGACAAGAAGCGTAACTGCGCTAAATGGATATAGTAATGCCATTTTAGGGGCTGTGTGACAGGTTTGTCCCCGAGAGCTGACAAATGGCCTCGTGGTACTTGTTGGCTCTTCCAGCTCCTGACACTCATAGTAACTGGATCCAGTACCTGCAGTGATCTTTCAGACGTGCCGTACACCATCGCCACTGGTAGCTGTGTATGTTCTGTTGTTTATCTGCTGGAGCCTCTACTTTACATCCTCCAAAGGAGCACTTTTTTAAGGTGCAAAAGAAGAGCAATGGATTTGGTACTGCCAGTATTTATATGCACATACACATGTAAATGTATGTTTTTATTTAACAGATTACCAAGTAACAGCTGAAGACGTTCTGCAGATGGCTGTTCCTGTATCCTGCATACTGATCATGGCAGTATCTGTGATTTGTTACTTCTGTTTTACCAAGTATGTATCATGCAATTCACAGGTTTTATAGTGAAGCAGTTTGAACAGGTATCAGTGTTGCTATTGAGTAGCTGAATGTCTAGTAGTACAGGAAGCTAATGTTTTGGGTTTTCTCAACTCCTTTATCTCCTTCTCTATGAGCAAACATTTTATAAACACAAATTAGTTTCAGTCTAGCATTTTCTGAATAGATAACTGAATATTCTCTATTCATCTTACTAGAATGGGCTTGTTACAGTGTCCAAAACAGGCTGCAGTTTTGGCATTTGTCAGTTATGGACCGCAGTGTTTGCTGAAGTTCCAGTAATGACGGTTAAATATCTGTATTTCTTTTTAAATTTTTTTAGTGATAATGTGAGAGTGGGATCCTATCTATTTCGCACATCATTTCAAACATTATTAGAAGAACATGTGACACTTGTTGTGCAGAGCAGTCACGCACCCAACATATAAACATCTTTGCACTAGTTTAATGAAAAGCAGCACTTGCAGATGCACAGAACAAGCACTTCCTGTTGCTGCAATGCAGATGGCCCAGAGGGAGGGAAGAACAGAAGAGGGAAGCGTACACTGGTGAAGCCAAAAGGCAGTCAAAGCCATTTTAATTCTTCTCTTGCAGAGTGAAGAAAGAATGGTGGGATCAAATCCCAAATCCAGCAAAGAGCCATTTGGTCGTTAAAAATGTCAAGGTAATTTAAAGGCTTTGCAAAAGATACCTTTTCCTGATCACCAGAAGTAGAATATGTAGTAAGTGCTATTGTCTGGCTAGTGCAGGGGGTACTAAATACAATTCACATATGTCCTAAATCTCATTTGTATCTTTACTAGTTTTCAGTGTTGTGCTACATCGATGAAATTAAGTTCCCTTTCCATGACTTAAAGCAGAGTCATATGGAAAACCAAATGTAAGTAAGATAAAGGGGGAAAAAAAAAATCCTCTGCTTTACAGCATACAATAGTTTCTTATTACATAAGCATTAACTGTCCTTTCCTTTTGACTTCCAAAAACAGAAGTTGCAAGAACTGTCTGGTTCAAAGTTTGTCAAGCCAAAACTTCAAGGGAAAAGATAACATCAGAAATGTTGAGAAATCTTGCAGTTGCCACAGCAAGGCTGGAGAGTGGTTTCCAAAAGGCAGCAGTGCGGTTTTAACCCCTGAGACAGTTATGGTTGAAGAGTCTATAGAAATCTGTGAATGTGTAACAGACATTGAGGCTGAGAGCCAGGAAGAGACTAGTGACCAGCTCACCATGTTTGAGCCTTGTGAGAGCAGTGTCAGTGCTTTCAGAGAGCACGCTGAACACAATGATGCACTAGCTAGCATGTTTACTGAGCTCCTGGCAGATGAAAACAACATGCAAGACAATAAAGACCCAGACATCATCATAGGTGAGAATAAAACCTTTGAGAAACATGAGTCGGAAAATCCATCACAGCAAAACCCAAAAGAAAGCACAGCCCAGAGTCAGCAGCCATGTGGTACGTCTCATACAGTCTCCCTTTTCACCAAAGCCTCTCAAGATGACTACAATGGTAGTACAGCCAGCAAGAAGTCAGAACAATCAGAAGAATCCTTTGAATCTGGCTATCGGAGCTCCAGCATAAATTCTGCTTCTCTGGATGCAAGAGATCTTCAACGTATGGGTCAGCAAAACCTTTATCCATGCAGTTCTGAAAGTCAGCATGACTCATGTTTCCTGATCCAGGAATCTCCAAATAAATCATCCTTTGGGACCAAAAAAGACAGAATAAGCACCACTGTGCACAAGAGTTCTGAGACTCTTGTGTCACCATCCATGGGGCTGTGTAGCTCTGCGTATAAGAGCTTTGACACCCTTATCTCTCCCTCTGTGGAGCCCTGCAATTCTGCCTACAAGAGCTGTGACACCTTTATGTCTTCATCAATGGAGCCCTGTGGTTCTGCCTACAAGAGCTTTGACACCCTTATCTCTACATCCATGGAGCCCTGTGGTTCTGCTTACAAGAGCTTTGACACCCTTATGTCTCCATCCATGGAGCCCTGTAGTTCTGCATACAAGAGCTTTGACATTCTTGTGTCTGCATTCAAGGAACCAAGTGGCTCTGTGTATAAGAGCTTTGATACCCTTATGTCTCAGTCTATGGTTAACAGTAGCCTGCCTCTGTGCTTTGAAAATGTGTGCTCCTCACCACCTCTGACAGAGTTTTCAGAGGCACCAGAACTTAGCTGCAGAGAACAAATTTATCAACCGCCTACCAATCAGACATGTTATGCCAACTACAGATGTCCCTGCACTGAGCTTGATTTTCAAAACACCTGTTCAGAACATACTGATTTTCCATCTTTCTCCACACATGCAAATGACAGCGCTTCAGCCTTCCTACCAGAGGAAGAAATACATAAGCAAGTAACGTATCAAAATGTTCAAAAGAAAGCAAATATAACTTCTTGCCCTGTTGGACCTCAACCATCTGGTTATCAGCCTTTCGATAATGCAGTTAAATGTAATGGTACATACTGTGACAATGACAGTGAGGTTATCTCTAGGTCACTGTATGAACCCTTAATTTGTCTTTTGTACAACAACCTGAGAGAAACGCCTCCAGATACCATAACCTGTGAACCTGGCCATAGGACAGATGACCATGTATGTGTGATTGTAAAGGGTTTTGACTGCAGCATTGTCCCAGGTTTAGCCTCCAGTGAGAATGTCACACAGGCCAGTGATGGCAGCCTGTGGATCATCAACTCTAATGAGCTGTCTAGTGGTAGCAAAGATGAAAATACCAGCAGAGACAAACAGCTGTTGCACTTGTTAGAGCTGAACTCTCAAGATTTTAACAGTAGAGAAAGAACTGTAAAGGGGACAAAACCTAACAGCTTTAACTCTACTGGTAAAGGAATGCAAGAAAGCAGCAGAAACGGACTAAATACTGACTTTCACTGCCACACGCACAACCACTTGAGGAAGCTTGGAAATGCAGGGGAAAATAAAGAGGTGATAAAGCAGGCTGTAGACAGGAGGTGTGGCTCAGCAACTAGCTTACCAGAAGAATCAGTGTGCAGCACTGGGCTGAACTTAGAAAGAAAAACTGCAGAGCTCCTGGTCTCTGGCCAGTTGTCACCTCCTCATTTTGTGGACAACTCCTGTCCTGATTCTCACACCGTTCACAATGAGGGTTCCAGCCTGGCACCTACAGCTAAAAAAAGGCCAGTAGAACTGTTGAGGGAAAGCCACAGGAAGAAGGAGAAAAAAATGAAACTTGTACAAGCCCTTGCCGAGGAGGACAACTGCTACATGAAGGTAGCCTAACCACGCTTGCCAAGACTGAACCAAACCAGTCTTTGGAAATAAACTGTATGGCAAATTGAAATGTTGCTTGTTCTTCCAGTCTTGCCTGAAGTGAGGGCTGCTGCCATTCAGACTTGGATTCAGTGGGTTGTAACACTCGTGCCTGCTGCAGGGCTGGCAGCCGGTATGCAGCGCAGGGGGACAGGAGGGGTTAGCATCTAGCAGTCGCAGCTACGGCTCTATCAGGGGGCCAAAGCCAGAGCTGAAGTTTTTCTGGCCGTGATTGTTCTCCGAATGTGAGCAGCAGCTGCATAAAGTAGGAGTTCTTAGTACAGCTCCTGCAGTTATTGCCCTGGGTCTGTGTGTTGCTTGGGAAGCACTTGTGGAAGGTGCTGACACACCTGGATGTGGGATGTAGGTGCACGTCAAAGGGAAAGTGACTGACTTGCACTGACGGCATCACACAGCATGCCACAGCTTCCATAATTTATTTATTGGGAGGGGAGGAGGGAGGTCCTGTGTGCCTAGCCCCAGCATGGGGTATATGTTTCTATACTTGCTCAATCAAGACTTGAAATAAAGATTACTGTCATTTGGGCTTAAGCAGTGCTATTACTGAGTATTATTTTCTCATTCTGTAGAAGCAAGCAGAGTTCCTTCATACTTCTGCAGCTGTAAATGGCATCAGACATTTCTAAGTAGTGTTTTGCCAGGAAGTTTATCCAGTTTATGGTCAGACTCCCTAAATTGATGCAGCGTTTTTTCAGCTTCTTGTTCTTGTCCAGTCAGAATGGGAATTATGCCTGCAGCTTTAAGGCACCATATACTTCTTGTTGGATAATTGTTCCAAAAGTTTTACTCGTGACTCTGAACTTTTCTAGGGTATTATCCTATATATACATCCAAGTGTATTAAAATGTATCTGTGTGTTCTTAATTAGAAAGCCCTGTTTGCACTGCCATTTGTAAAGAAGGAAACCATAATGCTAAGCACAGCAACTGCTTTCATGTGTTTTGTAAGTAAGATTTTTGTGCTGCAAATCTCTCTTCAAAGCTCAGGTTGGCCAAGTAGTAGAGGTATCTATGCATCAATTTTGCAGTGATTAAAAAAAAAGGGTATGTAAGCCCTGGAAGGAGACTTGCAGTGAATTGTCTGTGTTTAGATGTGATACTTAATATTTGTATAGGCAGTGGTTTGTAGCTTACTTTCACTAAGGTAGTGGTTAGTGAAAGATCCTACTGCTTGTAGCTAAAGTGTTGATGAACATGTTAGTTATTTTTTACAGGTTGAATTTTATTTTCACTCAGGTGAGGTTTAATTCTATTAGAAATTTTATTTGCATGAGGGCAGTCGCTGTAATTAACATCACAAATTCTGTGAAGTGGGAGGGCTGAGAGGCAGACAGATGAAGAGGTTTTCCTAGGCCCATCAACCAAACCCGCACTGAAATGGTGGAACAGGAAGATGCATAGAGGCCATGGTCTGCCTCATGGGTAAGCTGACTCACTTCCCTAAATGCAAGCAAAGTCAGGTTCAAGCAAAATCCCGCAGCTAGTTATTGCAGCGACCCGGAACAGGTTACTCACTGTTTACTGTAGTAGCACAGGGCTGTTAAGGGCGGCGCAGGGACACCAGTGGTGCTTTCTTCCTTCTGCTCCTGCACTCTCCCTTTGCTCTTTGTGAAATCCTCCTGGAAGTTTTCCACTTGGCTGGAGCAGCCAGGAGAGGTCTGCTCAGGCTAGGGTTGGAAAGCTGTTAACTGCAGCACTTCTCTGCTGAGCTCCAGCTTCATTCTGCCTTCCTCTGGCTTTTTTTCTTCTGCATAGCTGTGCTGTCCCGACTGCTCATTTCCACTGAACAGCTTTCTGTGCGTGGGTATTCTTCCCCTGCTCTCCCATCAGTATTTCTCTGGTGAAATCAAACTGTAACCCTTCAGGAAGGGGGAGACCTCTTCCTACGCCTTTGCATAACCCAGAACTGGCAATAAACACCGGGGCTGGCTGGGCAGATGGGCAGCTCACCCCGTCCTGCGATAGGCACGGTGCGTGCCTGCAGTAGGAGCTAAGTTCATGTTCTGTCCTCCACTGCCTCCACTTTTGCCATCCTGACCTCTTGCCAGCCCATAAAATGCAGGTCAGCTTCAAATGACCGGTTTCTGCCCTAAGGTGATGATCTGCCTGAAGTGTGCGGGAGTTCTGACTTCAGGCTGGCTCCCAGGACTGCCAGCGAGGTGTGCTGGCCTGAGCCACACCTCCTGGGGACCAGCCTGTGCTTGCAAAGGCAGCTGCTCTCCCGAGAGAGGAACTTTGTTCCTGAAGGCTGGGACCCTCCAAGCGTGTCCTGTTTAGCTAGTGGAGGGCTCCTACCAGGACAGAGAATTGCTGATCGTAATAAAGGTATTTTCAGTGTTTTTCATTTTGTTTTGTAAGACTGCAGTGCAAGTGAGGCTTGTGCCAAGTTTTAGTCCAGTTAAAATGCCATTTATTACTCACAATCACTCCGCCTCCACATCTTTCTCACTTGGCTGCCTACCGAGTATGAGCAACTTGACTCACCATGAGTGAAATGGGTTCCTGAGAAGAGCAGGTGTAGTCCCAGCTCAGGAGAAGCTAGTTCTGATACACTGCTTTTCCTTTGCAGAGAATGCCGCAGCCTTGCCTTTTTGTCTTTCTCTCCTTTGTGAACAGTGTTAGCTCCTTGGAAATAGGCACCTGTACAGGATAGCTGTTGGCAAATTCCTTTCAGTCACAAGATTTGTCACTGCCTGTGGAAAAGTAACAATAACCACAAGATGAGGGTGAGGCTAGCATGGAGCAGGGGCTTGAGGATGTGGGGTCAAGTGGTTGGGGGTAGGGACAAGTTCATGGAGGGTGAAAGAGGGGTCAACTTTTTAAATAGCTCGTCCCTGCATCTTACTTTGGGACCCTGCATTGTTCAGGCAGGGTGCAAGGATGTCCAAGTGCTTATCCATCATGAGCTGCAAACTTTATCTAAGACAAGTTTTTTTAGGCGTTGCATTCTACAGTGACATGGCCAAAGGAACAAAGGGTGAGAGAACTAAATGAGGGGGTTGTGACTTCCAAAACTGCTCTCTAGTGCTTACCTCTGACTGTGGAGTTGTGTGACAAAACGCCTTAGTGAACAGAGACAGAGGACAGTTTGCTTTCTCCTAGCCATGTATTTTCTGTAGAAAACTCCTTAGGGAGCATTTATATGATTTGTGCAGTTTATATTCTAGTTCTGACAGGTGCTTCCAAAGTGTGTAATTTTGTATACAGTTGCTTTCACAAATAATAGGTGTTTTTGACTAATTCTCAAGGGAACTGTGCCCATGCAATGCACACAGAGATCATTCCCCCCACCCCCCCCCCACCCCCGTAGGTTGCTCAGTAGAAAGTCCGCCCCAGGCTCCCATGTAGTGATGTATCATGATCACACCTTACCTGGAATTGCAATTCTGTTTTCACCACGCTGCTGTGACTGAGGCAGCCATGCCATGCCATCAGCTTTTCATCAGATGTTGCAGCCACGGCCCACAGCCCTCAAGGTCCCTCTGACTAAACTGCGGTGACGAGGTTGGAAGCCAAGCAACAGCTCCGTGTGAACTTGCTGACAATCGGAGCAATGAGATCAATGAACTGGTCTGGTTTTCAGCTGCGGGAATATTGTCTCTCAAAGCAGGTTGCTCTAAAGCAAAGGAAAAAAGCAGCTGAGTGAGGAAGAGGGCACTTTCCAGGTACCTCACTAACACACTTGACCAAAGTTAAAGCTTACTAAATTGCCATACCTCAGTGTGTTTTCACAGAGTACCTAATAACAGCCACCAGCTGCACCACTGGTTTGTAGGTCCTGACTATTCTCATTCCTTTGTCAGGCTCAGAAAGCAATGTTGAGAGGAACTTCACATCTCTGATGTACTCCGGTCAAAGGTGCTTTGCTCTGTTTGTCCCTTGTACTGTCCTGCTTCTGTCCTGTCCCTTTTGTGGCTTTCTACAACACGGAAATTTCCACACAGGTGCCTTCTACTCCTCCATCAAGGCTGCAAGATGAAGAAAAGCTGGCTGCAGCCCTAGATGAACAGAGTGGGGAGCTAGCTGCTGTGGCACATTTAGCTGCACGGGGAGGAGGAGCAGCTGCTTGCTGCTTTTTTTTTTTTTTTTTTTTTTTTTTTCTCTTAGCCAGAATATTTTGTATAAAAGCCTGACCATCTGTGCAGGAGACCTAAAATTCTGTATTCTGAATGCAGAAGCAATTGTAATGGCAACCGCTGGTACAGTACCAGCCTGACCTGCAGCCTGCCTCTGATAGAGGGGTGGCTGTGCTGGACCTGCCCCAGTCCGTGAAGTGTGGCAGGCATTCGACAGAGCTCCTGTCCCAGTGCAGGGATGGATCAGCTGCTTCAATGGTACTGTCTGCTCCATTGCATAAAAGCAGGGCATTCACAGCCGTATGGTGTTTGTCCTCTGCTTGAAGGTTACCGAGTCGGTGACTAACATATCTCTGGGACTTTCCTACTTGCTGCTGTTTCCCTAGCTCTTAGACATGGGGGAATTTGCCATAAGCTGAAGAGTTTGAGGTTGGCTGCTTCTCCCCAGAGAACCAGCCGCTGCTGGTTTCACTTGCAGTGAGCCACCCACACAGCAACGAGAATTGTAACAGGGTGAGAAAGCAGTGGACTGCCTTCTGGGGGTAGAATTTCCACACCTGGCTGAGAGGTGTAACCAGTTCCCGGGTCTTGCCTTGTCGCTCAGGGAGTTGCTATGAGAAGCAGGTCTGCGCTGGCTGCGGTTGGCCCTGAAGTTAGCGCTCTTGGCCCTTGGTGCACAGCCAGCAGAGGTCTGGAGGAGCTGGCTCTGGCAGGCTTGTGCTGTGCTGCGCGCATGTGTCTGATGGGCTCCGCGCTTGAAGGTTATGCAGGGCAGTTCATTGCTGGGTGGCCTGCTTCCCCACTGCCTAGCTGAGCGCTCCAGAAGCACGTAGTGTGCTCCTCCATGCCATGAGGGAGCAACAGAGCCACCAAG